GAAAAATAGACTAAGATCAGCTAATGATCGATAACAAAAGATCTTTTCTTAAAGGCAAAAACAACAATAATAAAGTACAATCATATGTATTTTTTTTTGTTTTGTTTGTTCTCTAATATTTTCTATATTTCCTGAGTCATTTATTACATATCTTTTTTTCTTATACATTTATTTAAGTAATTGATCATTCACACATTATATCAGATATATACAAGATTTTCTGTCTTGTTTTCTTTCTACATTTGATCGTAGAGAAAAATCGATATAATCTAAATATCAGATATTAGATTCAAATACACATATTAAGTCAATACAGTTGACGAATAAATTATCATATTCATATAGAATTCTTATTTTGAATCTATAACTATAACTTTTATTCAATGTAATTTTTATCAAAGTATATAATGTTAATATCAGTAGGGACTAGTACTCAAAACAATATAATACTTTCGTTGAGATTTTGATTTTTATCAAGATATGAACTTATAAAAATGTTTTGAAACGTTCGTTCTATTTGATGTTGATAAAAACTATTCAAAATAGCACGTATTTTGATGAAATTACAAAGTTGTAAAAAAAAACATGATAACAAAAGACTTCACAAAATAGTCAAAACCAAAAATTCTACATCGATTTCGTTAAATACTTCTCGCACAACTTGATCATATACATATAAACATTACTCACTCTTTTAGTAAAAGGTAATAATTGCCAGATAGTACTTTTGAATTGCGGCGGTTGTATAGGTAGTATTGTTGACGCATGAGAACGTTGGCCATTGATTACAATTGAGCCTCTTTGATCAGTTGTTGAAGAATGTCGGTGTTGAGAACGTGGTTTATTTTTAAATCGAAAGAAATACATATTCAGGTGTTTTTCACCGAAATAATTGTTTTAGGTACAACTATTAATAACAATATATATATATATATATTTTCATAAATGACTGGAAGTTTTCCAAAAGAACAAGAGAAAGAGAGACAGAGAGAGAAAGAATTGGTAAAATGCTTAGACAAACAAAACACAAAGCCATCAATAATCTATTTGGTTTTATTTATTGTATTTCCTGCGTATATATATGTGCGATCTATTCTGATGACGTTGTTCGTTTGATTCAAAAGAAATAATGAATCACAAAAAAAGTCTTTATTAATGCATAACAATAATATACATATATGAGAGACATATCATGATATATAACTATTGAATATATTCATTGATTTTATAGTTGATCTATAGAAATAAATTTTTCTTTTTTTTTCTTTCTATATCATATAGAATATTATTTGGTATGAGTCAATGTATAATAGCAATTTTTTTTCTATCTAATATGTCTATAAAATGCAAATTGACAAAAATATTATCAATAACAAAATACAAGTTCGTCTACAAACTAATGACGATTATAATCCTTTTTCATCAGCATCATTTGACAAGATGTTTTCTTCGTACGTAGCCAATAAAAAGAAAAACGGCACACTGTCTTATCAACATTATCAATCTTAGTATATAACTATCATTATAAATAACTACATTATTTTATGTTCACAATCGGATATAGATGGTTATCGATAGAATAGGCAATATGAGCATATGTGAATGAGTCCTTTTTGTTCTTCTTTTGAATATGTATTATGATAAGACCTGAGCTTAGGGAATGAAATGAACTATAATGTTATTCTTTTATCTTTACATTATATATATATATATTCAGTTTAGACATACATTATATTGAAACTTATTGTGTATTTTATAAGTTCTAAATAGATCAATTCCTTGAATAATAAAGTGAACAATTTTGTTTTTTATTATATAGACAGAGTTTTTACATATTATTTTATTGATTAACACGAATAATTTAGTTTAAATGATTAATTTTACAGATTATCTTGACTTTTCTAATAAAGAAAATATTCCAAAAGAAAAAAAAAACTAATAGTCAATAGAGTCTTGCATCAGTCTCTAATTATGTTAGAATCGACGTGAATGATAGAATCTTTGAAAATCCTATTTTAGTCTTGTCTTATGTAATATGTATTATTAAAAATTGTAGCATCTCGAAGACCTTGGCACAATTCAATATTTCTATTTTCGTCATTAAATGTATTTTTTATCATCTTCATGAGACTTTAATTTACATAATATCATCGTGCATGTACGCTGTTGTTAATCCACTGGAAAAAAAAAGATTTTGGCTTCATTGAGCTCTCATTGTCGAAAAATGGGATATTGTAGATGATTTGCATGTAAATATAGGAGTAATTAGGTTTATTTGAATTTTATTTTATGTATAATATTTTTTTAAGCATTCAAAGGAGTGTTCGAAGGTTGACAGGGGGTCAATGGTTCCGGAAGTTAGTTGTTTTTTGAAATTGTTGATTAAAAAAGGAATACAACACTAGAGAAAAACGAAAATTTTTCATATTTGACGTATCACGTTTTATCTAAAAATTTGTTATCGAATTTCTGTTATTTTCATGAATTTCAAAATATCATAGAGCTAAATAAATAATTACAATGAGTTTATATGTTACAAAAATAACATTCTAATAAAGTTTGAATATATTTGAATATAAAATAATTAGATTATCGTAAGCAATATTCGTATTACAGTACCAATATGAAATATTGTTAACATTCTATAATCGATTTACTTTTTATGCTTTAACATTTAGAAATGATCTAAGTTCATACGACAATGAAAATGATAATGTCTAATTCTTGATAAGCATAAAATGTAATATTGTATAAAATATTTGTCTTTTGAGAAAACATATAATTGTTATTTTTTTTTTTTTTGTTTGTCATTATATGAAACACTTCCAAGACGTATAGAAATCTAGATAAAATCGGTTTAGAGAAAATAAGAAGTCAAATTTTGAATGTGTTCAAAATATTGAAAAATTTTTTTAGGAATTTCTTATGATGGTATATTCAGTAAACATGGAAAATGAGATCATCAAACTTCTAAAAATTATTTTGAAGTCTAATAAAAAGCATTTCATAAGGATGTCTATGATATTTTCTATTATATTCAAACATATCTAATAGTCTTAGTCTTGAAATATTTATTAAAAGTTCACGAAATCATCTGATAAAAAAATTTTCCAGTCATTTTCTACAAATCTGTTTGCTTTAGTATATTGTGTTAGATTTTAAATAATACTATAAAATCAGATGCTTGTCGAATTGAATAAAATTCGTTAAAATTTGTGAAATTATTTGTGTAGCTCTACGAATAAACTTGTCATTCGATATTATAATATAGATCTAATCAAATTGAAAGTCTAGTCTCTTGTGAGATTCAAACTTCAGTAGTAGTCGCAACTATTTTCAACGACTATAGCTAATGATAACCTATGATTTTCTCATAGATGTCTGAATCTACAATTCCTTCTCTTGCACTTGACATGCATCAAAAATGATATCATATAATGATGCTAGGAAAAGAGAGAAGACTTGATAAGTAATAATAGTTATTTTTCTGCTAATAGAAATGAATAATTCTTGTTTGATTTTTTTGTAAAAATAATGATAAAATTTGGTAGTGTCTTAATAAAAGAAGTCAATAAGAAACTATCGGAAAAATTCTTTAAGATTACTTTTTGCTACATAGAAACTTTGGTATAATTTTCATCATTCTTATTTCTTAGTCATTCTATGAATTATTGATTTTTATTTTTCAAGCAGAAAAATTTCTATGTCGAACATTAATAATAGTAAAAATGAATATTTCTATTAAAAAAAACAATTTGTTTAGAATAGAAAAAGTTCATTCTATATCAAATGTTAGATGAAATAATCGATCGCCTCTACTTATATATATATCTTTGCCTTCAATTTGTCAACTCTTATCAATATGCAATTATTTACTATGTAATTATTTAACTCTTGAATAGTTTTAAAATGACCTATATTATTAAGCAATTATCATGTATTTTCATATGTTAGAAATATTAAAAGAAAAAAAAAGAAACCATATCAGATCCTGTTAGATTAATGTTTAAAATGTATTTAAATTATATATTTCTTCGAAAATCATAAGTCATTTTAGAAATAAATATTGTGTAATGAATTTTCAAAATATGATGTAATTATTTCTTATATTTGAAAAATGAATTATTTTATTATATAGTTTTGATAAAGAAGAACTGTTAGTTCTATATTACTAGCTTGATAAATGATGTGCTTTACTTGTCAATTACATAATCTGATTTGATGTTAGTGGCAATATCTGAATAAATAATTCATCATCATCATTGATGAACAATGTCAATCAATGAATGTATAACACTAACAAGAGTAATGTTTTGATAAATATTAATATTAAGATATTTGACAAAAATCTCTCACATTGTCTGTTAATTAATTATTTATATTTAATTCATTTCTAAATAGTATCATATAAATTTTTTTAATAAAATATTTGTATTAGTCATTTTGACTTTCTTTTTGAATCGATAAAAAAAAAAAAAATAGCTCATCGACATATGGAATACTAATCATCAAAGAAGATAATAAACTCTAGTGAAATCATCATCTGTCTTTTTCATGTTACGTCATCTCATTTTCTGACATTCTTCTTCTTTGTATATAGGGAAAAAAAAATCTAACGATACATCAGGATTACATATTACCAATTTGTGGATATGATAGCAGTTCTCTCGATAGATTTGTTCGTTGAAGCTGATGGAACGTCTAGTATGACTGACATAATCTTTGTAATTATTCTTTTTTTTTTTCTCTATTTTACGTGTTAAACACATAGCTATATATATATATGTATATCTATAAAGAAAACTTATGGTTATGTGTTCACTAATAGTGGACAAGACATTATAGTGCTTTTTTTCTTTCTTTCTCTTCTTCTAGACTATTTATACATCAGTAATATGGCATCTTGATGTATGTTTGTTCAATAATACGAGTGAACCATACATATATATAAAAGATCATCATTGTGTCTGTGTTATTTTCTCATTATTCTTTACAGCAAAATGACAATCTATACATCACGGTTGATTGTTATTCCTAACTATGGTAATCGTCTTCGATTAAATTCATCATCAAATTCATCATATAGTTTTCAACATGAAATATTTCGTTCGACTCTTATTCTTTTACCAAATTCAAATCGAAAACGTTTTATACAAGGTATTGAAGTTCAATGTGGAAGTTTTATGAATGATCAAACATATAGAAATAATAATCGTTTTGAATCTATGTCACCTGTTGGTACATTAAGTGATGTATATAGTGCTGATGAATCAATTTCTGAATTTCATTCAATAAAAAAAACATCAATTATTGGTCAATCATATTCTGATGTTCGATATCGTCTTTTGGCTAAATCAAATTTATTTTCTTATCCTTTAATAGATGATACGGATGTTGACGATAATGATAGTTTTTCTTGTTCATCTGTAGGATATTCTTATCGTCCTGGAAACTATCAGAAAAATTAATGGAATCAATCATTACAAGTAACATTTTTGAACATTTGTTTTGAACACGTTTTGTCAGGTAAATTAAAATGCACTATCAATGTTTTTATCAATTATTTATGAAAATTCTCAAATATATAATTGAGTGAAACTATTGATAGTAATAAATTTTTGTATGTTTCATTTCTGTTAATCATGCCATAAAAATATGTGTGTGCAAATAAATAACTTGTGTGTGAATCTGATGAATAATCAATACTGTTTTTGTTTGCATAACAACGAAATGTACGAATTCCACCTATAATTAAAAATGTCACAGCTTTTCTGTGTGTTCTAAAACCTTGTACATTTTTCTCTTGTAATTTGTTAGTTATTTGTATTTAGTATAATCTTTGCAGATCAATAGAAACATTTTAAAGAGATTTTTATCACAACCAAGATTTCGATCGTTTAGTTAGTCAACAAAGAACATATTTCGTATTAGTTTTAATTAATACTTGATGGAGAATGTAACAAATATCTTATAGCTCAAAATAAAAAAAAAGAAAACCAAATATTTGTTTTGTGAAAAATAAATGAAGAGTTGCAATTTTCTATTTTATTATATTTTTTATGATCATCATTATTATACTTCACATTTTTATTTTAATTCAAATGAAATTTTCTGGTAATTTTTCAAAAAATAAAAAAAAATTTGCTAAATTATTCTGAAAATTATTTCATATTACATAAAATAAAAAAGTCATTCATGTGATTTCTATATTGTTACTCAAAATAAAAATATATGAAAAAAAAAACAAAATGTCATAGTCTAGTGTTACTGTTGTTGATGTCTTAAACGTTAGGAGCAAGTATTCGACGAATAACAGGATCATTTTTGCATCTATTAAACAAAAATAAATATGAAAAAGTAAAAAAAGTGATATTTATACAACAAAATAAAATATACCCAGCAATGAATTCTTGTTTACTTAATTTCTTGTTACCACTAACATCAATTTTTCCAATAATATTTGCAGCACGTTTCTTTGGATCATTATCACCTTTACGATCAGTTTCACCAACAAGATCATACTGAAAAAACAAAATATAAGGAGTGCTTTAGCTGTAAACTTGAATTTAAACTGTACCATAGCAGTAATCAATTTTGTGAGTTCTCCTTGATCAATTTGTCCATCACCCGAAATATCATACCTACATTCAAAAAATATCATAAATAAAACAAAAATATATTTGTAACATACTTACATATCAAAAGCAACTTCAAGACGATCATCAAGACTACCTTGACTTGTAGCTGAAATAGCTAAAAGAAATTCTTCAAAATCAATGTGACCATCACCATTGCTATCAAATGTATCAAAAGCATATCTAAAAAACCAATTGATCTATTTTATAATTGTATGACATTGTTATAGAAAAATATACTTGCAAAAATTGTCTGCTTTTCCACCTGGATAAAATTGTTTGTAAACGTCGACAAATTGCTTTTTGTTAAGTTTACCATTAGGACAATCACGAATAAATCCCTAATACAACAAGAAATATATGAAAAACAAAAAAAAAGATAATCATCAATTTAACTAACTGCATGCCATTGTCGAATTTCTATATATCAAAACGAAAAGGAAATGCATAATGACAAACGGCAAAAGAAAAGAGATATTTACCTGGTTCAGTATATTTTGTATTTGCTTTGAGTAAAGCAATATCTAAAATTCATCAAAAAAAGTAATAAATTTTAAAATACATCAATTAGAATTACGCACGTTTTGGAGTTAATTCTGTTGATGAAGATGTTTTGCCACCTTGTTTATTACCCATTTCAAATGATAATTATCAATGAATAGTGAACGATTAAAAAAAGAAAGAAATCTAAAAGAAAAGCAATTTTGTTAATATTCTTCTTCATAAATTTATGAATGTTGACTGCTTTGTCGATGGTATTTATAGAATAGAAGAAGCGAAAAAAAGAAACACAATAGGGGGTAGACGAGGTAAAGCAATCATGTGATGAATTTCAAGGTATATGTTGCGAAGCAACTTGCATTGTCGTGAATCATTCGATGAATATAGCTAGTAGTGGCTTCTTAGTTTACTGATGTTTACTTTTTCGATAAAATACAGAAAGCTATACATAACCACGAAGAAATCAACTGCACAAGGCAATGCAAGGCAGAAATACGAATTTTTTTTGCTTCTATTACCTTTGCTGACAGAAGTAATTTGAAAGAAAAATAGAAATATTTTATTTCATACTTTCTTTTTGCTACGGCCGGCATTAATGCAAATACACTTGAAATTTGAATAGTTTACTTTAAGGGTTCGTCTCTAGTAGTTCTATATGGTAAAAAAAATAACAGAAAATGTGATTCTGAATATCTGTTCGAACAATACTAAGACGTAAATTAAAAATGTCAACATGTTTCAAACATTCTTGATGGAATATAATTTAGAGTCGACTTATTCTCTAAACACATAATGTACAATACAAGTCAATAATGTTAGCATTCCAATATTTATTCCAACGAACTATTTTATTACTATACTAAACGTAGGAAAAGTACAAGCAATTCACATATCTAATACGGTTAAGGTTAAGAATCATCAAGAATAGACAGCAATGTATTTTCTTCTTATAGATATGTATAGAATTTGGATTAATTTTGTTTTATACAGAATGTTCCAAACATCCGAACGATAAAAGAACGTGAATAGTTTCTTACTAGTTCAAGAATTTTATATACTATAGTGGACAACATTTTTTCGGAAGTTTTTGTTCGAAATATAACTTTCCAGTAAAGTTGATTTTTGAAATACAGTTTGCCTCAAAGTCATAGATACTGTATACTATGTGCACTGAAAATTTTGTTTTGAAATGTTAAGCCAGAGTGAAACTGGACACATAACAATTCGAAATGGTAATTTATTGTTGGACGATTTTTTAAATCATGTTGTTTCTTTTTGACAATACTTCGAAAGAATTGTAATCAGATAAATAGAAAGAGTGTAACACGAGCTATGTTTTGGTAACGAAAAGTTTCTGAAAACAAAATATCTATGAAATGAAATGCTTATTTTATGATACACAGTTGACAATATTTAATGCAAACTCTTTATCACATATATAAAATGAGTGATTTTTCTTTCCAAATGTCATACTCGACACAGCATCTGACACTGCATAAGATAAGATATTATTTAAAGCTTTCCAATAAACCTTTTTCAATTTTGAGAGTAAATTTTCTGAAGATTTTCAGTGTGAGTCGCTCTTTCAAATATGGTACTAGAAAAGAAAAATTACTCATCATATAAAAGTGAAAAAAAGTCTACATTGAACGTTGTCAACTGTGTGTTATAAAATAAGTATTTCATTTCATAGACATTTTGCTTTCAGATACTTTTCGTTATCAATAGGCAGTTCGTGTTACGCTTTTTCTATTTATCTGATTACAATTCTTTCGAAATATTGTCAAAAACAAACAACATAATTTAAAAATTCGCCCAACAATAGATTACGATTTCGAATTATTATATGTTCAGTGCCACTATGAGTCACCATTTCAAAACAAAATTTTCAGTGACCATAGTATAAACAGTGTCTGTAATTTTGACGCAAACTGTACTTCAAAAGGCAACTTAACTGGAAAGTTATATTTAAAACAAAAACGTCCCACAAAATTTTGTTCAACATTGTAGTTATTTTACAGTTTGATTCCATATCCGTTAAAGTTTTATTGAATATATTTTAGATCAATTTTCGGTGTTTACAAAAGTCCAAATTAAAACAGCTTTCCTGATGGTCAAAATTAGATCAGCTACGATTGTAAAATAAAAACTGCCAAAAAAAAAATTTGACAACAACACACCCAATGAATCTTGTATTAGAACCACATTTCAACAATTTCATGAAATTGATACTGTCGAAAATTGATCATACTCTGGACGACCTAGATCAATTACTGAAAAAAAACAGTCAATGAAGTTAAGGATGCTTGTAAAAATGAGTCAAGATCAAGTATTCGATCTATTGCACAAGCTAGTTTATTACCACAAACAAGAAGATACTGAATTATAGAGGAAGATCTCTTACTATAACCATATAAGGTACAATTCGTTCTATAGTTCACTGAAGACAAGTGACATAGATCGAACATTTGAATATTGAACTAGTCACGAGTTTTTTCGTTCGGATTTTTGGAGCACCCGAGATACGAGTTATGCTTATGTCAGAACAAACAATAAAATATTTCTAAGTAATAAGTTAGTTTATATATGAGAGTGTTTGATAGAAAAGCTAAAAGAATTTATATTCAGAATAAACAATGTACTGTTGACATAATGTCCTTCTACTGGCATTTTTACTGATTGCGTACAATGATTGAGAAAATACACAAAAAATTATAATCAGGTTCAGTTCTCTTCATGCAGAAGATTAAATTCTATTAATCGAAAAAAAGATTCGAATATTCATCATGTATGTTTACCAGAATTACCTAGTAGTAGAAATAATTTATATAAATAAAAACAGAACTGGTAGTTCATACAGAACGGTAATCTTAATATAAAATGTTAAAAAAGATATTAATTTTTATTTTTTTATGAATGATCAGTGCCTAAATCATGACCATGCTTGCACTTTGATCCATAAACCAATAAATAAATTTTCAATAAATATTTGGTTCGTTTTCGATATATGATCATGAGACAATTTAATTTTTAGTGAGAACGAAAACTTCAATACTTTTAGTTATTTTTTAGAGGAGTCAAAAGTTGCTTGAAATTCAATATATCCAATCATGGGAAATGTATTCGATGGATTTCTCTACGCCAATATGAAGTTTTATCCTCTGAACTCGTTTTCATGATATCTTCTCGAAATATAAAATAGGCATCGAATTGAGTTCTTTGCTTGTTATCTAGTGTATTTTGGATGAAAGGCAACGACTAAATGTCTGTAAATTCAGCTTGAAATAAGAATGCTAACCTGATCTTATGCTTATTTCTTCCGGTTTGACATA